GCTGCTGCTGCTGCTGCTGCTGCTGCTGCTCCCCGCGCCGGGTGAGTGACCCCCCGTCTGCGAGCCCGGCGCCCCCTCCCTGCCCCCGCCCCGGGTTTTGCGGCGGTTTCCGCTGCAGCCACATTTTCCTGCAGAGCTCCGGGTGACAGCCTGTCCAGAGCGCGGGAGGGTGGGGGCTGGGGAAGAGGAAGGTGCGGACACCCACCTGTCCTCATCTGGTCCGCCCCACCGCGGCTACCCCCCTGCCGCCGGCCGGCAGACTCTGCAGGTCTCTGCAGGTTTGGTTGGGGGGGCAGTCGTGACGGGCAAGAGTGAAGCTCCTGGCCCGCTCCCCATCCCATCGGATTCTTCCCTCTTCAAGGCAGCATAGCCTCTCACCTAGACCCCCAGGACTCCCAGGGTCTCTCCAGAGTGGGGTACGGGCACCTACCCCATTCTCAAGTCCCTTGCCCCATGGTGGGCATCGACCTGCAGCTATGGCCTTGTCTCCCTAGGTCTTGGGACCCGGGGTCCTGCTGCTGCTCTGCGTTGGAGGGTCTCACCCCAGTTGTGGGGCCCAGAAACCCCTGAGGTTACAGAGCCCAGTCGTCTGGTGGGGGAGAGCTCCGGAGGAGAGGTCCGAAAGCAGCAGTTGGACACCAGGGTCCGCCAGGAGTCGCCAGGTGGCCTGGTGAGTGGGGCTGGGTGGGGAGGCCAGGGGGCTGGAACAGGCCTTAGAGCCCAAGGGAGGCCAGGGGCAACCAAGGTTTGGGCGCCTCCTAGGCACTTGGCTCCTGCTGCTTCCCCTTTTGTGCAATGGGCTACCAAATGGGCACTGGAGCTCACTAGCGGAAGCACCCACCTGCCGGGGTCCAGGCCCCCTCCACCATCATGGGGATCTCCTGCCCTCAGCAGACCCGAAAGCCCAGTCCAACCTTGGTCAGCCTTCTGCCAGCCCCACTCCTCCCCTGCCAAGGCAAGTGGTTCTCCTCCAGCCGGGCTTGGGCAGGGTACTACCGAAGCCGGGCAGGGCAATACCCAAGCTGGGCGGGGAAAAGCAGCTAAGAGCCCAGTCAGGGATTAGAGTTCCTGGGTTCTCACCGCAGCCACCCTTACTGGGCTTTTTTAGAACAGCTTAGTGCTTTGCTCCTGCCTCAGTTTTCCCCTGTGCACTGATAGGCTTGTTGTTCTCCTTGCTGTTCTCGTTGAGGGTGGGGCCATGGAAAAAGGTTCCAGGCCCCAAGCTCACCCACAAATGCCACCCACCCCTGTCCCTTTCAGTTGCCAGGCCCTTTCTGCCTCCCAGAGGAAGGTTAGGAATGAAGGAGATTAATTGCAATTAATAATTAATTAATATCATGTGAATAATAATCACCCAGATGGAATATTCATTCAGCACATCTCAGCTCTCCAGGAGCTCAAAGCTGAAAGTTAGCCAGGCCAATGGGGGCGGTGGAGGGCGCGATGGCAAAGGCCTGGCAGGAATAGGTGTAGAGGAGAGACTCAGAGGAGGCTGCAACAGAGGTCTGGGAAGTTTGGGCAGCTGGGAGTGGTGGGAGGTACATTGGGCTGGGCAGAGGGAGGAAGGAGGGAAACGGAGGCTAACATTGCAGACATCTGTCAGACTGGCATCTGGCCCTGCCTAATGTACTTAGTTAAAAGCCCTTAGGGGGGGTGGAGGGGGCTGTGGG